GAGGTGTGTCCAAACCCCACTGGCTACACCAGGTGCCAGTCTCAAACCCAAAACCTTCATTGGTTTGACCACAGCTTCCCAGAATTCCCACTCCTTCCTGGTCAAACCACCACACTGTGTGTCCATCATCGTGCCTCAGCCCTGTTTTGACAGTGCCCAGGACTTTCTGGCAGTGACAGGACTTTCTGTCTCTTTTCCAAATCTCTGTTTCAGAACCTGGTCTTCCTTGTGAACCTCAACTCAGTAGGTTGACAACTGAAACTCGAGACCACATCAACAAAGCACTTTTTAGCACTTACATTCCATGAACTCAACTTTTTCAGCTTTACAACTTCCCTAAATGCAAAATGGTTACTAACTACTTCTGCAAAAGATAAAGGTCACTTGTCAACCTGTGTTCCATCTTAATTTCATAACTCACCACATCCTGGTAATTGGTTATTCATCTTGTCAATGCTGTGTACTGACATCACAATTCAAAACGTATTCTAAAGGTTTCCTATGAAGAACATTTCCAGGCTGGTATTTATTTAGTCTCCATTGTTGAAAATACAAAAGGAAAACAATTTTTTGGGGGAGGGTATGTAACTTATGTAACTGTCTTTAAACTCAGCTTTTGTAGTTTGATCTTGTGTCACCCTGTAGACAATATGTGAAGCTTCTTTCTCCTAGTAGAGCTAAGGAAAACAATTTGGTTTTTTGTTACCTGCTCATCGTTCCTTGCTCACTTTACTGTGTTTCTATACTTAACCAATTAAAAATTATTGTTACTGCTACTTTTTGTGATTGAGCTCAGCTTCAGACTTCTGAAGAATGATCTCATGCATCTACTGTTAGTCTCCCTTACCCTGGAGTGTGGCCATACTGTTTTACTTCTGATGTTTCTAAGAGTATTTTAAAGGTGTTAAGCATTTGTTATGTACTCAAGGTCTGGCTCCTCATGATTTCGTGAAGGTTTAAGTTTTTTTATGGCTCCTTCTTAGGTTCTTTTAATAAACTTTCTCATTTTCCTAAAACCTTGTTTTTATGTGAAGTAGATGTGTTGGGTTTTTTCTTTCCTTTTTTTTTTTCCATTTGTTGCTCCTGCAAAGAGCATCCTGATTATTATGAATCCTCAGTAGTAAGGTTGCTGTTGTTCAGTGTTAGTGGTACTATGCTAGCAGTTTTTGCACCCTGTACAGCTGGAGCATTGCCCAAAACTTCTGTTCCTGAGTCTCCTAAGTCTCCACTGCAGAGCTCCTCTGAGATTTACCTATTTCTACCAGAATCCAGTTGACAAGCTAGTTCCACTGTAGAATATGTGCACAGGCAGGGCTGTTAGAAATCCAATCCTGCTTATTTTCACAACAAAGTCAAGAGCTGCTTATCCTATCTGGAATCCCTGATTAGCCACGCCAGTAACTGATGGTATATAAAAATGAAGTCTCAGCATCGTGTTCCAGCATGGGAGTTACAAGATTTAGGTGACAGTAGTTGAATGCTCAGGTAGTGTGTGTAAGAGAAACCTGCATTTTAAATTCTGGTCCTCACCTTCCTATCTGATGATGCAAATTCTGCTTCTTACTGTTCTGTCTGTGATGCCCACTTGGACTATGGCCTGTTGACCCTCATATCTTCTGGTCTGGGCCTCTGCTCAGTCTGTGTTGGGACTCTCCTCACTGAGATTGTCCTATTCCTCTGTGCTTCTGCTGCAGAGGTGTGGTGGAAGTGAGATACTTTGCCATGGTGAGGAGGCAGAGGGTAGAATAACCTTAAGGAGGAGATTCAAGTCTGGATGCCAGCTCCTGATTCAGGAGGAAATAAGGCAGCCTTTTGCCCTGTTTTTTCAACCCACCTCATAGTCATTCCATTTTTTCTTTTTGTTGCTTAGGATAGGAAGGAAGGTAGCAAGGACAGATTAGAGAATCAAGTAAGAAAATCAGTTTGGGAGGTTGTTTTTAATATCTGCCAGTTGTCTGCTTTTTAAGAGGTGTAAGCTTGGGGGCAGTTTTTCAGTTTTAATGCCAGATTAGGGGACTGACCAAGTTCTAGCTTTACTTTTCCTTTTTATTCCAATCTTCCAAAGTTGCTTAAATTGGCAGATTTTATAGAGGGATAAAATATGCATATTGAGGATATGGAGAAGGACACAGAGGGTAAGTGAAACAGACATGCTGAAATACAGGATTCACTGTCTGTGACTTTATGTTTCCAGGGGAGTCGTCTGGATGAACAAAGGTGTTCCCTTCCAGCTCCTCTCAAGGTCAGGCCAAGTTGTTGTTGCCTCCTAAATTGCTGAGAATGGCAGATAATTACTGACCTGGCTTGCAGTGTACTTTCATACTGGAATGAACAGGGAGTCTGCAAACATCCAAAAAACACATGCTTGCCTTTTTTATTTTCTTTTTTTTTCCTAGTTGCTCCACAAGAGAATGAAAGTATGTAGCTGAAATAGAATTAACTTTTCCTTTTTCCAATTTAAGTGGCTCCAATAAGAGTTTATTGTTATTAAAAGTGTTAGTTTTGACTAAGTAATTTCTTAAATTTATTCAGTTTAAGAGCTGTAATAATATTTATGAAACCACATAGTATTTGTTTCAGTAATCTGCTTGATGACTCAGAGATGCTACTAGAAAGTTTATCTGTTTTGCCAGTATTAAAACAGCAAGAACAGATTCCTATCTTTAAATCCTCAAGTTGAGGATTAAACTCCACTTCTTCAGTCTCAGCTCAGGCCTATTAACCTTAAAATCAAACCTGACCTTGACTTTTATCTTGGGATGACCTATAAAATAGCCACATCGAGAATTGATACAGCTTTACTCTGACAAAGATAGTCAGTGCTGTTTGTGGTGATGGAGGGGGCATCCAGCTGGCATAAATTGGCTCAGTTACTGCGTCTGTTCTCTGAGTCACACCTCGGCCTTGCTCAGATGAATACCACAGAGCAGCCATGGAGATGACACAGCCTCAATCTCACTGTAAATAACAGCACCTTTTCTGCCATTCCTACTGTCATCCCTGTCAGCAGAAGGACAGAGGCTAAAGTGTGGAATGAAAGGAGAGAGGCTGCCACTCCTAACCACATCAAATTTGCCTATAGTTTGGCTACTTCCTCATTTTGCATGCCTGTATTCCCTGTAGTTTGGAGGAGGAGGGTGGGTAGAATCTGTCTCCTAAGTTTATTGTTCACAGAGTTCTTTATTATAATGCTGAGACCTTGGAAATGGAGTCTAACCTTAAGTCCTGAAGTAAAATTCTAAGGATGACCCAGAGCAGACTAGAAGCTGAGGGCACAGTTTGCACAGAGAGCATAACACCTTTAAAGATGTCACATGTTTTTGCTAATGGCCTGTTCTGATTTCAGACAGAAGAGGAGTATATTCCTTATCCCAGCATCCATGAGGTGAGTTAGTACTGCTCTCTCCTCTCTCTGTTTGTCCTTGGATTTCATTGTTTTTTCAGCTTATTAGCTTTCCAGCTTACAGACCTGTCAGTTTTAATGCTTTCTGTCCTTCTGAATAGGTATTACAGAAAGGGTGGCCATATCCTCTCATTATCCTACCCCAGTTTGGGGGTTACTGGATTGAAGGGACCAGCCACAACCTCTCCAGCTTGAGTCCAACTCTGTCTGATGTACCCTTTTCCTGGAGTGGTAAAGTGAAACTGGAAAGTGACCCTACAGCCAAGCTGTACCGCAAACATTTTCTGGGAAAGGTAAGGGTGACCTTCAGAGCCTTCTTTGCCCACCCAGCCACAAGGCTGAAATGTTTCTCGGGCTTTTTTTGGTGGACTTAAAATATGTCTGCACTGCTGCTGCATTTCAGTTCCTTATGATGCCTTGAGCTGAAGTAAATGAGGTACATACTAAGATACGGTCTGTAGTGTTTCAATTGGTTGTGTCCCCTTGTGAAATGTGCATCATCCTGTGCATTAATAGAAAGATTTGCATTGGAAATGCTTTTATTTAGTTAAGAAGGTCTTTTGAGGCTCCTATACAGATACCAACCTTGGGATAACAAGTGGACAGAAGTGTAATAGTATTGGAAGTGGAAATGGCATTATTTTTATAGGGGACTTCAGCACTGACAGTGCAAGCTCCTCAGTAGGAAGCAGACAGTCCTTGTCCCTCAGTATATGGTCATTACAAAATGTATGTGATGAAACCACACCATGTGTTTTATAGTTGTTGATACAAGTGAGTTTGGTGCTAAATGTTCCATGAATTTAAAAATTCCAGTTTGACACATAGGGAAACAGAGCAAGGCCTCATGAAGTGAATGTTTGCTGGCCAGCCATTAAGGTCCATCTGGGTGGGCCTGTTTAGGGAATTGGCTGATTACCAGACTGAATCTCAGGATGGTATTAGCCGTAAAGAACAAGTGAGAAACACACATGATGTTTTTTGAGATTTGGTTCATGGCATCAGGAGATAAGAAAGCTTGACAAGAATGCTCACACTGCATCTTAGTGATCTCCCTTAGCGACTGCAGAATAAGTTCAAAACCAGGAATAGGTGCTGCTTTGCACAGTGCTGGGGACCTGTTCTGCAGTAGTTATTCTTGTCAGAGTGATCTTCTGTAGTGAATCTTGTTCCAAAACAGTGGAAGATTATTAATATGATTTATAAATAATTAGGGAAAAAAAGGAAGCCTTCCTGGAGGCTTCCCCTCAAGACTAACAGATCTGCTGTGCAATCTGCTAATGGACATTTATCCTGTAACCTTCTGGAAGCTTTCAGTATGCCAACTGTAATTATTTTTCTGTCATGGTAAATTTAGGGTTGTGCTTGAATGCTTCCAGAGCCAGACAGGACAAGAGGCAAATTTGGATATGGTTTTTCAGTCCAATTGTAGGATTCACTGCTGATCTGATATCACAAAACAGTTGAGGTTGGAAGGGGCCTCTGGGGCTTATCTTGTCCAGACTCCTGCTCAAGCAAGGCCATATCATCATTGTTTCTTCCAAGTGAGATCCAGAACTTCCTCTATTGTGGAGCTTTGCATTTGCAAAGTGCCCAACCGTTAGCGCCTCTGTACTACAGAAAAACTCTCTCCTATATTCTTCCTTTTCTGGCGTCCAGTGTTTTATTCTTTGCCTTAGCTGACACAAATATGTGTCCGTGTTCAGTTAAACATGCAAGTTTTTGAGCAAGCCAGTGTCAGAAAAGATCAAGGTGAACAGGAGTCTTGTGTTACTGAAAACTCTGCCCATGGCTAGAAAACTTCCCCCATGGTTTAAAAACGTAGTTAAGGAGAGAGCTCAGAGCTTTTCCACTAGAAGAGTATTTCTACAGTGCAAAGTTAGCAGTGATTTTGATGCTGTGTTGGATCTTTTTCTTGTTGGTAACATGGGAAGGTTATTTCAACAATGTCAGGAAAGGTCTCTTTCATGCTTTGAATAACAGCAAACAGTTCTTAGCTGAGGAAGAGTCTGAAAGCATCACATGATGGGAGAGGCATAGCCAGTGGTTTAGGTAATATTCTTTAAGCAAGACAGGAGATCAAAGTATTGTGTGGTACTACAGACTTTAAGTGCATGTCTGTGTTGTGGATGTGTGTATGTAGATTGCTCAAATGTGAACAATTCTGTGATAATTTTTACAGAGTATCTTACAGCAGACCCTATAAAACAACAATCAAAAGAAGTGCTAGAACATTCAGTTCCTTTTCCTTGCCTCATAATCTGTATTTTATATGACAATTACACAGTAAGATTTATTTAGCCTTTAGGATAAAGGCTGTAAAATCTTATGTCTTATACTGCGGGAATAATTTGATGTCTATGGTGTTTTTCAAGGCTGTAATAAAGAGAAATAGCCTGAAGCCAGGAAGGATTTAATAAACGTGTGCATTGTAACTGCCAGTCAAATAAACTTAGGGTCCAGTTTCTCAAGCACTTGAAGCTCTCAGTGCTGAGGGAGGAGCTTTCGTGCTATGCATTCATATGTAATCATGTATTTCTCCTTTATGCTGTCCTTTCTTTGTGCTGGTTAAAGTTGCTGCAGATGGCAGATGTCTTAGTAGCTTTAGAGCTTCTTGGGCAAACTGTCAGCATTCCTTGTGTTTTCTGTTAGTCTTTTCCCTTGGCCCATGGAAGATACTTAATTGTTTTTAGAGAGATCTATTTGAAATCCAGAACTACTTTTCAGACTATATTAAATGTTACAGAAACTGCTTCTGCAGCTGAACAAATTTGTACTTAATACATAGATCATCTTAGCTCCAGGGTGTCCTGTCATCACTGACTTGCAGTCTTCAGTATCAACTGCAAAGCCTTTTGATGGTTCATCTCTAACTTCAGGACAGCTAACAATAAAGACTGCTGTCCACTGAAGGAATATGAGTCTGATGTGTGTTGCCTGTGTGTTTGTACAGAGAAAGAAAATCATAAGGAGTAAATTATAGGTTTAGTCATAGATACGATTGCTCAGATCTCAGTTTAAACCTCAGATCCTGGTTCAGGATTAAGCTACATAGCCAAATTCAGTTGTTTTAACATCTCCACTAATTCTGGTACCCATTCCCCTGTGAGGACTGCACCCATTTGTGCAGCTCTGCCTGGCTATGTCAGCTGCAGAGCTGATGGCCCAGTCTCCAAAGCAATTGAGATCCCCAGTATCAGACCTGCTGGTGTCTGGCTTAGAAGTCTCATCAAAAGGCATCTTAATTTCTGATTTTTGTTGGCATTATGCCCTCTTTTTCCTTAACAGGCTGTCTTGGCCATCCAGCCTGGCATTTGACTTCTTTGGTTTAAGGATTTGGATTCTAGACTTCCAACTGACCATGGAACATGGTCTTGCTTTGCTCCTTGAGTTTGTCTGTTCCTCAGCTACTCTGTCTTTCTGCCCTTGGTCACAGTGACTTGCTGCACCTGATTCTTGTTCACATCCCAAGAATCCGTTAGTATCCTGAAACTCATGGTCAGGAGAAATTAACTGTCCTGTGTGGCTTCCTTTGATTTTAGCTTTTTTTCCCATGTGCTGTCACTGACCAGTGTGACCAATCACACTGGACTTCTGTGATTTGAACACTGCAGCTAGAGGCCGTATTACTCTGTTTGCCTCTTGGCTGCTCTTAGACCTTACCTTTTTCAGATTGCCTTGTTGATCAGCCATGGAACCTTTTGCCCAATATCAGGGCAGTTCTGGGTGTTGGGTGTTTTCTGTCTCAAAGAGGGGGTGAAGACAATGACATCTTTAATATTTAAAAAAGTTAGCTACATCATCACATTTTGGTTTAGGGTAGTGACTGTAGTCTTACTTATTCCTGTTTTTTGTTTCAAAGACAGGATTGGTTTATGTCTGTTAGCTTCAAGTTGGATGGGTCCACACAGATATCAGAGTATTTCACTAGATGTATCTTTATTTCTGACAGTGAGTCAGAACAATGACTTATACAAAAAAGTCATACAAACTATGAATTTTGCTTTTAAGACAGTGAAAGACAATCTTACCAGTGTTTTGAGAGAAGTTTTAATCCATCAGAGCCAGAGCAGACCTCCTAGGCATACTCCTAGGCGTGTATATATTCTATATATTCTAGGCAAAAGACTGAGGAAGGAACTGACAGACTAGCAACCATTTTTTATCAGATTACACTTTGCTCCCACTGAGTTCTTCACTAATTTATTGTGCCTGGATTATTCCTTTCACAGAACATATTCCAAATCATGCATGTTTTGACTGTACAACTGAAGACAACTTGCTGTCCCACTTCAGTGTCATGCATGAGGATGCTTTTCCACTAGGATGATGGGAGTGATCAAGGCATTTCTGCACGATTTCACCTTAATGTTATTTTCATTCACATCCTGTGTCAAAAGGCTTTAACCTCTTGAGGTTAGAGATTATATAGTAATATGTATGATATAGCAATATACAAAATATACATTGCTGTACCTAGGCCACTGGAACATGGCTGTGTACCCAGGAGAAATGTATGGCCACAGCCACTTACAAATAGAGACTGTGAAAATGTTTGCAGTATCTTTCATTGTTTGACTGCATGACTGTTCCAGGCACGCTCCACTAAAGCTCTGGCAGTGTTAGTGGCACTGCTGAGACCAGTCTTCATCTGCAAAACCTCTTTGCTTACTGACTGTATCCTTCCTGACATGTGAGCACTCTTGGAGTTCAGCCATTCACCTTAATCCTGCCATTGCTCTTTAGATAGAGAATTTCCATGACCACATCCAGTTGAATGTCTGGTAGACGCTGCTTAGTCAAGCAGAACCTGAATGGATGCAGGGAAAGTCCATGAAAGATACAATTTTATTTACAAGAAACTCAATTTCTTCAAAACTTGTTGCAGAATGTTCTAATACTATTCCCTGACTGGATGCACTTTGACTGATATGCTCATGCACTGATGTTCAAGTGGGCTGGAAGACAATATACACACATCTGGAAGCATGCTACTCCTAGTTGAATTAAAAATTAGCTAATCTTGAGTGACAGGTTGTGTGCAAAAAAAAACCAACTTTGAAAGCTTCTCCAGGAAGTGTGTTGGGGATAATGCATTTTGGTTTCCTATTTGCAGGAGCACCAGAACTTTTACTCCAGTGACATGTCCTTGGGCTACCTAGTACTTTCTGTGAAGTATGAACAGATTGAGAAACAGGAAAATCTCCGCCTGTTGCTGAGGTAACAGTGCCTGTTATTGGAGTGTGTGCTGCTGTGCTGTGTCTCTTGTGTTACCTTGCACTCCCTCTGCATAGATGTGGGTGGGAATTTCATGTCTTTCTTCTGGAGAGAAAAGAAACTGCAAAAAAACCTTTGAGCGTTTTTTTCTTGCCTTCTGCTCTTGAGTTGCTCTCAGCAGTTTCCTTAAAGAAGATGATGTGGTGCTTACAGGTGCATCTTTCCAGTACCTGTGTGGAAAATACCTGCTCTTCCCTCAAATAGAAAGTTTTTCTGTTTATTCTGTCTACTTAGAGACATGTGAGTATACCCTAGGAGAATTTGGATTCCCTAATGGAGGACAGCCTAGCCCAGGCTTTGTACTTGAGACTAAGGCTCCCTTGAAGGTGATCTAGAACATCCCCTAAATTCCCAGGGCAGCCTATGAAGCCATAACTCTTAGAGAGGGTTATGAAGAGAGACATTACCTAGAGAGAGCTGCTGGATAAGCTACAAGAAGAACAGAGAAGCATCTTGTGTAGGTGAGAGGCCACTGGAGAGAAGCTTTTTACCACACTATGGGCTGGATGCACTCCCTGTAGGCAATGATACCGGAGCCAGGTGATGTACAGTTGCTACTGACAAGGATTTGTCCAGGACTGAGGGGCAAAAATGATTCCATAGGAATCAGCTACAAGAAAATCACTGGTGGGTTTTCTCCAGGGTCTGCAGAGAATGCTTCAGACTGCCAGCAGTAATCTGGGAATAAAGAGACAGCCTGTTTGTGAGCTGTGCCTGGGAATGTTTTTCTTCCTATGTGGAAGAGACCAGGGAAGAACAAAAGGGTAGTTATTCCTCTATTAAGATATTTTATTCTATGCAATACTTTTTGCTCAATAGCTTGTTTATAATGCTTTTAAGAGGCTTTTGACAGCCCAGTATTTCTTCTTCCTTAGAAAGATATTTCTCCTTAAATACACATACAAAGAGGAAGGCAGCTTTCCTCTGTTGGCTTTCTGGAGCAATGCTACACTAGTTTCTACCTCCTTTACTTTGCATAGATCTGCTTTCCTAGCTGCTTCTAACAGACCTTTTAGCAATCTTTCAAGCCCTCACTGATCATGGGAATCTCTTATTATTCTGTGTCCAAGAATTGTATTTTGACATTTGGATTTCTGTGAAAGAAAACTAGGGGGGATGGGGGGGAAGCAGAATACTTCTTCAAGGCAGACAGGAGTGCAAAGGAGGAAAGACACCAAGGAATCCTGTTTTGTCTTCCTCTGATCACCACAACAAGTGATGGGTAGTAAGAAGTGAAAATACCTTGCTTTTCTGGTGATTCTATGCACCACAATTAAAATTAAGCCTCTGGAATTAACTGCTTTAACAATACTCTGGAGGAATGGCTACTCTTTCTTTAAAGATCCAGTGTTGCTTGTGTCTCCCTTCAGCCATCAGTCTCTAATGCCTTTTTTGTTCTATGTCAGGACTCGTACTGGCACCAAACATGATCTTATTCCAATTTCCTGTCTGAATGAATTTCCCAATGCTGTTCAGATGGCAAAGGTGAGATTCATGCTTGCCTATTTTTCTTAAGGCCTCATTCTTCAAGTTATTTTCACCTCTGTCCTTCCATTTCCCTCTTTTTCTACTAGTCACCAGTAGAACTGTTATATAGTTCCCTCTTACCCTTCCATTTTGCCGCCTTTTCTTTCTCTTCTGATTTTACCTCAGAATTTTTGCCTGAAGGGGCTCCTGTCAGATAATTATATACAGTACCTACACTGTCATGCCTGCAACAAGCCAGGGCACATGATAATCACACTTCTGTTTCCCTGTCTCTTTCACTCAACAGCTACTGTGTGAGGATGTGAACGTTGAACGCTTCTTTCCTGTCCTTTATCCCAAGGTAGTGTGTTCTGTTAGGTCTGTATATCACTTTTCCATCAAGGTCTGGCTAATGACAATCAGGTGACAGTTTCTGTTTTCATTACTTCAGGCTTCACAGCTTATTGTTGCATTTGATGAACACGTCATAAGCAATAACTTCAAATTTGGGGTCATCTACCAAAAACCTGGACAGGTAAGACCCCTCAGATCCCGTGGTACTTGGGGCAAAATGAAGAGAGTCAGTTTTCCTAGCTTAAAGGATGTAATAACAAGGTCTGCACTGTCCAGAAGCAATGGCATGGAGGCAGCAGTGTTTGTGCAGTGCCATGGTTCCCTTGGCATGCCTCTTCCACCTGCAGTGTCTCTGGCAGTATAGGCTTTGTGAATCTCTGAATTCTAGCTCTAACCCTCATGGCAGCTTGGGGCTGAGGCACAGGATCCCAGCACCATGGGGGGGCTCAGATCAGAAATGTATTCAAGCAGAGATGTTTGTTGGTTGAACTGTCTATAGAAATTACTGCCTGCTCTTTGTACTCCTTGTGCTTCTTACTACTTCTGCTTTCTTTCTGTAGACAACTGAAGAAGAAGTCTTCAGTAACACAGTAGAGAGTCAGGGTTTCCTGGAGTTCCTGGATTTCCTTGGTGACAAGATTCAGCTGCAGGATTTCCGTGGGTGCGTACACAGAGCAGCTGGAAAGCCAGATTAAGTTAGGGAACATCATGTGGTCGTAGACTGTGACCCTGTTGCAGCTCAGCTTCCAGAGAAGTGCTGTGTCTTCTGAATCCCAGTGCAGGTGAAGAAACCCCAGATACTTTTGTCAGCATAATGTCTGGGAACTAGTTGGAGCTTAGGTCTCTGCTGGTATTTTGATTTAAAGGTCTCCTGATATCTCAATCTGACCCCCAGCATTAGCAAAGAATAATTTTACTTGGCAGTGCAAATACAAGTTTGTTTCATAGTGGTATGGGGCAGTATTGTTTCAGGCTCTTTCTCTGAGGCATCACATCCCTTCTGTAGTTCTAACATACAGAGTGTGTTTGTCAGAGGAATGCCAAAAAAGGTAGCTACTTTGAGGATCACTGGTTTAACTTCATGGCTTTTAACAAGCTGGTATGTTCACCAGCACAAATATGGTGCAGCTTCAGTCATTGTGTTGCTTTGGGGAAGACTTGGTGCCTCATTATCATTGCTTTCCTAAAAATCACCTTTGATAGTTCTTGTGTAGTACTGTTACTGATGCTGTCTGTCTTCTCTCTGCTCTCTCATTCCTGCACTGCCTGACCTGTGGCGTGGTGTGGATTTGCTCAGGTTCCGGGGAGGCTTGGATGTTACCAGAGGTCAAACAGGCACCGAGTCAGTCTATACAAATTTCCGGGGGAAGGAGATCATGTTTCACGTGTCCACAAAGCTGCCCTTCACAGAGGGAGATTCCCAGCAGGTATCAGAAGGAGGAGTAAGGATTACAATGGCGTGGCTGGGAGAGGAAGGCTATTTGAAGAAGGACTGCATAGAGGGGAGAATGACTGACTGTATAGTGTTGGGAATTATGGCTGGAGTAATGGCAAAAGTAGTGATGAGGGGTTTGGTGAACAGATGGTTTTGTGATGTTTGGCAGACTGGTGTCATAGGTCCCATCATAGTGTTCTGCTCTTTTTCACCTGCCTTCTCTCTTCATTATTTCTTTCCTCTCCAGCTTCAGCGGAAGCGTCACATTGGGAATGATATTGTAGCCATCATTTTCCAGGATGAAAGCACACCTTTTGTCCCTGATATGATTGCTTCTAATTTCCTTCATGCTTATGTGGTAGTTCAGCTCACTCATAGCACCACTGGGGACACTCTCTACAAGGTAACCAGGATCAATAGATTAGCCTGTACCGATTTTGGTCCTTGATGCGGAAACGGGTTCTTGGGCCTTTGGGAGAGGTGCAGATTTAGTCAGATGTCATCGTGATTTCTTGAGTGTCTACACCTGAAAGCTGAGTTAAGTGGTATGCTTTTCTAAGTAGCTGAATTATTTCTGAAGCTTAAAACTTTGGAATTGAAGCAGAAAGAATTCAGGTAAAAATTTTTGTTTACATCACAGAGCCTGAGCCATAATTGATTGCACTTTGGGGGTTGTCTTGCTTACATTGTGTAAGTCAGGTAAAATTCATGTCTACATTGCCCATGCTGCACAGCACAGTGCTTGCAGCTTACACTGCCTGAGGCTGCAGGTCAGATACAGCTGGTTGACCTAGCTATGGAATTCAAGCCCGCTACACCTGCTTTTGGGGATTCCAGAGCTGATGCCCATCTGGCAGGGATGTGTTACCTGTTAGGGCCTTCCAGCTGAAAGAATCCCTGCTAGAGCCCAGATTAATTATCTGCGGCCTTTGGACACAGCTCGTTCTCTCTCTGACATGTCTCTATGGATATCTGTATAACTTTATGTTCAACTTTCAGTGATGCTGAGAGAGCAGAAAATACAAAGAAACTCGGATTTGCGATGGATTTTCCATTGTAGAAACATTTTAATCCCAAGTGGCATGTGTTGTATTATGTAGAGATTTTGAAATGGTGGTGATGAGTCCTTATCCCTTGGAGGTCTACAGGTACACCAAGAATATTGTAATTGGACAGTATCCCCATCATTAGGACAGTATCCCCATCTCCTCTTCCACCAAGAGTGTTGGTGGTGGAGCTGGCTCCTTCCCTTTTTCTCTATGCTTTGGGTAGCTAGGCTTTCATTACAAACCAGCTGGGGTTCCAGTTCTCCTCTTGCTCTCTGTTTTGTAGGGCACAAAAATTCACTGGACTTTTTAATGACAAGGAAAGAGCTGGGAAAACTTGCTATTTGTTGTGTGTCTTCCTGCCATTGTTTTCATCTTTGCCTGTCTGCAGTACGTTTTTTTGTTTGTTGTTGTTAGTGTAATAGGGCTGCTTCATTCCATAAAGAAGAAATCTTCCCAATAATCACCCTAGAGCCAATGCAGAGTTTTCTATAAAGGCTTTTCTAAAGGGGCTTTAACTGATGCTGCCTTGAGAGCACTGTAGTACACAAAAGACTGCCATTTGAAAGATTTCTTTGCCATCCCTTGTTCCATTTACTTAAGCTTTAGTGCATCCTGTTAAATTGGAGTATTAATGAAATTTATTTCACAGAATCAATTTTTGCAATCAGAAAAATAAAAATGCAAAGCAGGATTTTAACTGGTAGATATCTATTAGGAGAGAGATGGAGGCTTTGTAATTGGGGAAGGAAGGTGGCCTAAAGTGTGAGAAGTCTTAATTAAATCCAGAGCCCATTTCCTTCTTCCTCTTATTAAACTCACACCTCTCAGTGGCTCTGTGACATTTATTTGTTGTTTTGGCAGTTGTGGTTGCTAAGACATTATTCCCTCTTGTATGAAAGGACAAATAATGGTTTTGTTTCATCTCAAACACGACAAAAAAACCCCTGTGAAGTATTGTGAAGTATTGTATGTATTTGATAAGATAGCTACATATAATTATGGGTAAGTGCTGTGAAGAAACAAGTGACAGTGTAGAAATTGGACTGCATTACAGTTACTTCTTTAGACGTTGGTATGTCAGGTGGGAGCATGCTGAAAATAAAACAAATGAAACCTATCTCTTACTGGGAAAATGCATTTCCATGTTTACCACCTGTGACTCCCAGAGGCAGAGGCACTGAGATACTCCCCTCAGTGTGCAGCGTATCTCCATCAAGGATTCTGTGTAAAAAAAAAGGTCAGTACAACCACACTGACAAAGGTTCTTTAGTGGAGGTTAATCTTGCAGGCTGAATAGGAGCATTTGTTTGTTTCTAAATATACTGGTTATAGTAGTTATTATTTAAAATATTTTTTAAAGAGCAGTCAGTTCAGCTTTTTTTACTGCTCTTTACTGTGTGCACATCTAGCTGGCTGAGTATCTGAGAGATAAATGAGCACATCCTTCCACTGAGTTCAGGAACAGAAGGATGCACAGGACACTATATTACATCTCATTTTTATAAGTAAATTATTTAGGAGGAATCAGATCTATCATAGTAGTTTGATGGTCTCACTTGTGTTCTGATACTCCTTTTTTTCTCCTTTTATTATTTCAGGTTTCAGTCACAGCCCGAGATGATGTCCCCTTCTTTGGACCGCCGCTGCCAAATCCAGCCATATTTAAAAAGGTTTGTTTCTCTGGTCCAGTGTTAGTTGGCAGGGAACACACACTTGTGTTCTGAGTTGGTATTGTCAGTCTGGCTAGAGCACTTTGGAGGTCCAAAGAGTAGTAAGCAGAGCTTTTATAATGGGATATTTTTACTAGCGTTTTGATCTCCTGTTTAGTCTAGTCTTCATCTTGTGTTGCAGAGTGCAGAGTTTCGTGAATTCCTTCTGGTCAAGCTCATCAATGCCGAGTACAGCTGCTACCGAGCTGAGAAATTTGCTAAATTAGAGGTGGGTCTTTTACCTATCTGCTTCAATTAAAAATAATACTTACTACCAGAAAAGGAAATAAAGTAAAATTTCTGACTTCTAGTTTTGTGTTGTTTAAGAAAGGAAGATGAAATGTGATTTTCTACTCAGTTTTGGGATATTTACTTCATATTTCTTAGAAGGTGTGATAGAATATGAACGGGTACACTTTAATATAAAGATCTAATCCTCAAGTAAGGATGGGAATGTGATGCATATATTTTGCTGGAGGAAATTCTGTATTAGCTGAAATGCAGTATTATGCTGCAGGATGCATGCTGATATCACTGATTTTTGGTTTAAGGTACCACAATTCTTTTCCTGACTCTGTTGTTGCCTGATCTAGAAAAAAAACATGTCTCTATTTCATCATCTGTAAAGAAGTGTCCTTTATGATTTTCTTTAGACAGAGCTTGAAGGGGCTGGATGTTACTGCAATATATTCTGTAACTATGCAGTTAAAGTCACTTCATACTGTTTAAAGTGATTTTCATGTGGTTTTGTTGTCATTGTTGGTCTTTTGGAATTTCTTGTTTGCTTCTTGGGTTTTTTTTTAAGATGGATGGGAGACATCAAAAAAACAGGAAAAAAATCTCTCAGCTCTCAATAAAAGCTGTTCTGATTCCGAATGTTGATGCAGGAAAGAACACGGAGTGCCCTCTTGGAGAGCCTTTTTGAGGAGCTGCAGCTTCGCAGCCGCAGCATGATGGGGTTGCCTGTAGGGGAGGATGACAAGATAGAGAATGGCAGTGGGGGCTTCCTCGAGAACTTCAAGGTGAGCCTTTCTACATACCTGCAGTGTGGTCTAGAATTCCATACTGGCCCTCAGAAGCCAAACTCTTAATGCTTTGTGCTGGTGTCAAGTGTCAGATGTGATTTTATTCCATGACTTACAGAAGAAGGAGTCAGTGTTTGCAAGAGAAATTGTAAAAACTAGGAGCAAGGGGCTTTCCGTTCCTACAGCAGATCTCTTTCAATTCATTTTCATTATAACTGAAAGAATTGCAGGAGTCACTGCAAAAGTTTCTAACTTATCTCTGAGTGTACTGTCTAGAAAAACTGTGGTGCTTTCCTTACCCTCTCAAAGCCAGAGTTAATTTACCTTTTTCAGTGTATATGGCATGTTAGGGGGTTTTTATTGTTGATTTTTTAAAATAAACCAGGTGACAGAACTTTCTTTTAGAAGTGATAAAGATAATTGATGTGAGAAAGCAAAGGTTTTGTATGATTGGGAAACTGAGTTTTGAACTAGTTATACAGAGAGAATCTTTATTGCTTTCCTATTCTATCTACTTGCCCTTTCCCACTTAATGTGGGAAGTGCCTTGCCACCTCTTTTATATAATAAGTTATCTCTTTGGAAAGAGAGATGTGTTACAAATAGCATTTCTTCTGATGACTTTATGGCTTTATATGGTGGGTCAATTAGAGATATTAAAGTCTGTAAAACTAACCTGTTCACAAATAGGTTTGGTAGCTGTGTGTGTAGCTTTGGTCTGGATTATTTGGATGCTTTGGTGAGGATTATGTTTTTACATACAAACTGCCTTTGCTGCTAACCATTAATTTTAACCCATCCATGTCTTACACTAATTTTTTCAAAATGTCCTTTTATGACTTCTGGCAGATGCTGGGATTTGCACATCATGTACACAGATGATATTTGTAAATTGCTGGAAAAGGCTGAGTTAAATTAGAAAATGGCTTTTTAAAATGCTGCAGATTTTGACATGGCTGCTTTCCATTGAAACCAGAACGCAAGTTCATATGAGGCTGAACCTTACAGCCTTGAACAGGAGTTTGACTTTGTGTTTTATAGCCTGTTCTGGATAGGACTGCTCCAGGTGATGCTGTGTAATCCAGTGTGCAGGGATACTGGTAGGAAACCTCTATTCATTGCAATAGGAGAAGGGAAGTGAAACTAGAGAATATACTTGATGAAGAGTCCTTCCCAGAGCTCCATGAATCAGCTAGGACCAATCTAAGGTGCTGCCTTCTAGGAGTTAGGATCTGTGTGGTTCTGGTGTCAGTCTGTCACAACTTCCCACTCAATCTGTGGTGCTTCTCACACTACCCTACCGTGTGCATGTCTATATGTGTATATCTGTGTTTGTCTGTTTCCCTGCCTCCCTCCTGTTCAGCGGGTGATCAGAGGCCGCAGCCAGAGCCTGGATACCATGGGGATATCCATGAGAAAGCAGCAGCCAGCCACCCTGCCCAGCCGCCCAGCTACAGCTGGCCTTGCCCTCAGCCAGAGTGTCGCCGAGGGCCCTAAGGCCATTGCTGCGGTAAGGTATTCGGGTGGGCTGTAAGAGAGAACCCGGCATACCTTTGTGACCACCCATACATTTCCTTTCCCTATTAGTTTCTCCTCTTGTCCCACTGTGAATCTTTTTGTTGTATCATCCCATTTCACAAGTGGTGACAGCATGTGTTGCAGTCTGTTTTGTCTGTGCCCATCTCTAGCCCCAGTCGATGTGTAAACTAGAGCTGAGATTGATGCAGACTGGGAGAAGAAAGCCAAACATGAATCTGCATCAGACATCTATCTCTGATATCCTGGATTAGATCCTGTACGGTGTGATGTGTTAAAAAATGTATGCACTGTGGTTTGGCTGGAGTGGTACTGTATTGTCATATGGCAAGACCTGAGAACATAAGGACCCTAGAACTGTTTCATTTTCTTCGATTTCACCAATCAGACTGTTTTCTGTAATATAAACAGGTGCACAAGATATTCAAGGTGCTGTTTTGCTGTAAATAGAATTTGCATGTTGGGAACAAACAGCAGAATTAATAAAGTTTGGGGTGAGAAAAAGAATGAATATTTCTACTCACTATCAAAGCCTTTCTTATTTGATAGGGATACTAAATATATGTGACCAATGAATTAAAAATCTATCACAAATCTTTCCAGAAAAGGATCCATCAGTTTCTGATACTGAAAATATGGTTACCTTGGCCAAAGTGCATCCAACTGGTTGTGGTCTCTGCACTAGTGATGTCAATACAGGCAAACTACAAAAAAACCCACCCATCTCTGAGTAAGCCAAGAAAGTGCCCTTCAGTGTGAAGGTTTCTTGGTGACAGTTTAGTTGGTTGTATGCATTCTTTATGTCAATACAACGAAGTCATAGCATACTAATGACTTGGGTTTGCTGCCTCCTTTTCTCCGTTAACTTCTGGTTTTCTTTGCTTTCTGGTTCTGCCTCTCCTCTCACCATATGGGGATACCTCCCTTCCCAAGCCTGTTTCTCTGTATACTGGCTGTGTTCTGCCTTTGTTTCTTTATAACTCTGTGCCTTTCTCACACCACCTTTGTGAGCCCTGGCTGCTCTTGCTTGCTGACAGAAAGTATTCCTTGCACAGGTGGAGCTGAGTCTTGTATTGCAGCAAAGGAGAGGATCTGGACCCACGTTGCAAACTCTTCTCCTATGCTTTCAGCTCTCCACAGCTTTTCCTGTCTTGTTCCTCTCCTTTCTGTCATTTTCCTTTTTTCTAGTCTTTTGCCTTGCCTGGTAGGAGCCCATCCCGTACTCGAGCCAGCCGCTTCCACGGGCGACGGAGTAGTGCCATTGGCATTGAAAACATACAGGAGGAAAAGAGGTATGAGCTGTGGGGAGATGAGACAAAGAGGGTAAAAAAACCGAGAGGAGATGAGAAAAGGAACATAGGCACATATAGGCAGAGGGGGAACCATCAGGAATGAGAACTAAAATAGAAATTGTTGGAATGGGAAGAAAAGGGACTGATTATTGACTGATGGAGAAATGGACAAATAACAGAAACAGACAAAATTAAAAGAGGGTGTTTGGAATTGGAGAGATTCAGTATTTGAGTAAGAATGGAGGAAATGGGTGGAGGAACACTATAAGATCACTCTTAAATGTTGTGCAGTATTATCCAGGACTCCCGAGCTTCCTGCTCTTCACTGACCACTTCTAGAAGCGAGTCAGATGAAAGGCTGGTATTTGGGAAGGTGATGCTTGATTGTTTGTTTGTTTTCATGTTAAAATATTCAAATAGGCAAAACTTCTGGTAACTTACAGGATTTATGAAAAAAAGCTTTAAGTCCAAATGACTAGTGTTTAAGTTAGATCATCTGAGAAATAATTATAATTAATGGATAATATACTGCTTCAAGGAGTGATTTGGCATATTTAACAGAATTATAACCATTCAGAAGTTGTCTGCTGGTCACGAGATATTATTTAATTGAATTATACATTTCCTCTCAGCTCTAGCTGAGACATCTTTTTAAGATTATACAGTTTCAAAAGTCACGTGAATGCTCTGCATCTAATATGCAGTTTTCCCAGTTGCAGGAATTCCAGGAAACAGTTTAAAGACTGGGTGCAAAAGGGGGAAAGACATCTCTAAAGTGGAAACTAGTTATTTTAGGAGGAAATTTTACTGCATTTTCCCTTCTTTCTTAATGAGGTGCCTATGACCTAATCTGAATAAAAATAGAACTTTTGAGAAAAATTCAATCTTCAGAGACAGCTGCCCTGTAGTAGTCTAAGCTAGCACAGTAGCCACAGCTTCTCACTGCTTAAAATACTTTTGTATCTTAGGCAGCTGTGTCCTTCAGTCCATTACTTTGTGTACAACAACTGTTTCTATCTGCTTGAAGGATCTGTAAAACTTTCCTACTACAGGGAAAAGCCCTGGATTTTTTTTTTTTTCCCTGCTCTTTGCTTGGAGGGATCTGATGAACTAATTGGCTTATTTAGCTTTCCTTTTGCTTACTTGTAAACTTAGATGTGAGGAACAGGGAGCCTTAGTTTGTATTTTCTGAAAGACTTCTTGGGTCACTCTTGAAGGTACAGTTTCACTAGCAACTGCTTTAACAGTTCATTGTTATTAAAAGCAGATGTGATACTTCCCTTCTGTCCCTTTCATCTACCCAGTCCTGACTATTCCTTGTGATGATTGCTCAGATCCCCAGTGGGCCTTTCATGGAACTGCTTCAGCCCAGTAATCAAATAGAAAAAGTATCAACTTTCTTTCACTGGATTAATTGTCTGCCAGGTTCTGCCATGAACTGGCTCGTGGAGAAGCCTGATGGGTACCAGGACTGGTGGAAAGTGCACTCAGCAAGAATGAAGGAGGCTGGAGCATGCTCTCTTTCTGGGAACAGTGAGCTCAAAGTGTCACCTGTGACTTCACCCTGAAGCTGTAATTTAATGATATGCAGGCTTTGCTGACAGAGTTGACCCAGTCCATCTCCCTTGTTAGTTTGTTGTAGGAGTTTCAGGGTTGTTTTAATTTTAGAGTTACTTTTTGTCAGGGTAATTTCCAGTCTCACAAACAATTGTATTAGCATAAGTGAGTGTATCAGAAACTGTGATGTGTGGGGCACAGGTAGGGTCAACTTACCAAGAGAGCAGAGGAAGAACTTTGTGACAAACTCCATCACTGAAGCCCTAAGAAATCCCCCAAAATCCCTTTGTTTTCCTTTCTTTAATTAAATGTACCTCTCATTTCAGTTACTCATACAGACAACTTTCTTCAGTGGTATCTTGACAAATCCTAGTAGCAATAACACTTTTGTAACCATCATCTTCATGCTCTCTATTAAATCCTGTAGCTTCTTAAGACCAGTGGAATGGGGAGGATAGAGGAAAAAGTTAACAAAATAAAGGTGACTACTGAAATTAATTCAGGCCTTTATATCAATTCAAAAGGAGCTTAAAGTTGGCCATTTCCAGATGTCACATGTGACATCAAAGAAGTCTGCCCTTTGCAGTGCAACTGTGTTTGCTTCCCTTTTACATGTATACAGGAGATGCAACTTTCTACTGTGGCTTGTAAGGGAATGTTAGAATAGATGGTAGTTAACTCTGGCCCTGGGGTATAGCTGGTTTCTCTTTTCTCCCAGCAGAGACACCACAGAGAGAATACAAAGGGTGTTGGACAGTCCAGGAACTTTCTTTGACCTGAAGTCTGATGGATCATCTAGTCCCAGCTCTCCAGAGTTCCCCAGCAGGAAGAGCAAGTGAGTTGAAAAGAAATTTTAGTATTTGAAAAGATGCTCACTATCTCTGGTATTGGCTTAAGTGTGGTGCATGTCTTGCTCTGTGGAAGGCTTTACTGAAATTGTCCACATCAGGCATTGTAGCATCTCCAAAGTTGGATGTCTGGCTGTGGCACAGTAATTCAGAGCCTGTCAGGAACTTGGCTTTCTTAAACAGACTGTGATGAAAGATTGGACCACTTGATTTTGGTTATATCTTTACTGTAATGTGAGCTTGCATCCAACAGGATACACAAAATCCTAGCTGTCCAGTTATCCATGTTTACTCATGTGTATGTTTCCTCTGTAGTTTGCTCTGGAGTGATTTTGGAGCTTCATGGAGAAGCTTGGACAAGGGTATGTTGGGATGTTGGGTTGTACTCAAGTTCTGCCCCTTTAAGCAGGATTCATGCCGCTGCTCCCAACCAGCGTGAACTAACCTGTCTCCAGTCTCCCCAAAGTGTTACAGCAGGATTCCAGCACGGTCCCATGTGTTGCACCTATGTTTCATTGCTAAAGCACGCCATACCACACCCAGTGGTATGTGCAAAACACTCCATGCAGTAGTCTGCAAGTTAATTCTCCAGTTTCTGGTTGTCAAAAACTGGAAAAATGCAATTTCCTGGTAGTGGAGCTTTGCTGCTGCTAAGCTGTGTTATACTGGGATGTGATCCTACCTAGAACACTTCAGGGAAACCACCCATTTACATTTCCAAGACCTCAGAACAGCCTGTCTTTAAATCAAAGGCTGCAGCTGACTTTCTGGAACATTTTACTACACCTAATTTTTTCAAGAGCTTGGATGAGACCTGTGGCAAGAAAGGTAGCAAGTACTTTGTATTAGGGCATTTCCTTTTCTCAGGACTGTGGAGAGTCTTAAAAAAAATTCAGGAGGTGCCCTAGGACCAGGCATCCATGGTTATAGTCGCTTCAGGTGCCAAATTTGACAAGGAAGGGCTGTCCTTCCAACTACACCCAATGCTCCCTAAGAATTACAAGCTGGTGACTATCTGCAGTAGTTCAGCTGCCCAGTTGTGTGCTGTAGGACTGCTCAGAATTTTGTCACAGCCAAGGTGCAGTGTTCTAGTTTTTGTGTGTGTACTAGTTTTTGGGTTGGATGAGTGCCCAGAATTTTGGTGTGGAGGAGGATGGGAGCACATCTAGGAGATACAGACCATCTAAGGTGCCAGCTCTGGCAGCTAAGGACTAGAGGGAATGCAGGACATGGAACATCAGTCAGCACCCCCCATCTTCCAGCATTCCCAAATCATTCCACCTTCCCTTCCTCATCCTGCCTGGGGCCTTGTTAGTGAACTAGAAGTTCCTGACAGGCATGTGTGAGGGACTCTTGCTCTGATTAGATAGCTGATTACCTTGCATAATCACCAAGAATTCTGCTTCCCCCACTTCCCACCCCCATTCTCCATCAGCTGAGGAGGTGAGCCAGCTGCAATGGCTGTTTCAAGTTGGTATCCACATGCTTTCAGAGAGCAAACATAGCATGGGATTTTACTAACAATACTTGCATGAATATTGTTTATGCACATTAGGCATGACCTGTATGATTTGTCAGTTTGTCTAGTTCTGTTCCCAGGATTCTTTTTCCAGTCATGGACTCAAAACAACTTAGGACCATGAGAAAAAAGAAGTATTTTCATATCTCTGGTGGTTTAGCCTATTCCTGGACAGTTCATTTACAAGGTGGGATGCAGCATGGAGTTTTGCACAATTAGTGATTAGTCAGAGTTAGAGTTGTGATATCAGAGTTAGGGACTAGCCCATGTGCAGCCATACTTTTTGCATGACACTGGGGACAGGGAATTAAGAACATGTAATTCCACCAGGTAAAGCACACCATTTTCAGCAAGAAAGTATTAGCACAATATTGCAGGAGAAGGCTGGGAGTGTAAAGTCTGTCTTGGAGACACTTTATTGGCATTCTGCTGAAATAGCCTACCTGGTGTTCATCAGCTGTGAAACCAGGATCAAGATGTAGGCATACTTCCAATGCAGAAGAGTTCTGCCTTTTTCTAGAATAATTTATGTAGTCCCTCTTAGATAACAGAATGGGCTGTCCCTGGGAGTATATCATCAGTCTATTCCTGGTTCTCTCCATAGAGTCACAAGAAATTTCTGTTACCTCAGAAATGTCCAGCATGATGCTACTGGTCTTACATAATAATTTCAGATTCAAAACTTGAATGGTCAACCCCTTCACCTGTGTTCTACTAAGAGCAACCTGGAAATAAATGCAAAGGGAACACATAAGTAATAGATGAATTATTTTACAGTAGAGGCAGAGCACGCTGCTGTGGTTAACAGATGTTTATACAGTGATCAGCCAGCAATCCATGAAACTGCATTGTTCACTTGAGCTAACGGTGTCTTCTCTCCCACAAACAGGGACAATTGTCCTTAGTTTTTCTGCTTTACTGTCCAGGTAGCCTTCCAAGTAATCCTTCTTCTCAAGGGACAGACTCAAAAGAATGAACCCAGCCTATGTAACCAAGTAGTAAAAGTCCTGAGGATCAGACGACTCTCTGGGTTGCATCTGAGAAATCAAGCACTGTACTGTGTATGTCCATATCCTAGGAAAAGTACATGGGTTTTTTGTATGTGTGTTTTCCCTCCTCAGACACATCTGAGTGGGGACATCAAGCCAATCAGGAGTGGACCGGATGCTACTCAGTCATTGGGTACCTCACTGAAGACACTGGCAAGACTTTTGGGGTGAAATCAGAGTCCTGGCTAAGAGGAGCATGAACGTACTTAGAGGACCTCAAGGACTGTGGAGAGACCGAGTGGCACCAAGTAACGCTCCACTGGCAGTTCCTGGAGCAGGAATTCTGTGAGAGGGAGATGGACAGATAGCTCCTGTTGGAGCATTTTGGCTCTGTGCCCTTCCCATTGCCAAATCAGCAGCCACTGAACCAACCTCTACTAGTGATGGGGAACGGAGGCCACCTTGAGTGCGACCCCTTCTCTTCCCTTCCTCTCCCCTCAGATGAGTGAGAATAGTTTGGCCTGCAGAATGCAAGAGCAGAAGAACACAACTCCACCTCTGTCTCTAGTGCCTTGACACAGGTCAAGAAATGCAGTGCAGAGGACAAGGATGGAGAAACCTGCTGAGGAAGGGTGCTGAGAAGGAGATACTTTGTGGAAATCTAGATCCCAGTTCACTTAGATTCATGTTATTGATTTGCTCTGCTAAGGGAGAAGCATGTTGGCCTTCATTTCCTCCAAAATATATTTCCTAATCTCTTGAGGAAATATCTTTGGCCTTTATTGGCCCTGTCTTCACTGTTCTCCTTGTTGCATGCTGGCATGTAATATGCCTGGAACTTTAGGTTTCACAACTGCTTGTAGGTCAAGACTGGCCACATTTTGCAGTGTTTCTGAAGGAATAAATATATTTAGTATGTTAAAGGTGTCTTATCTTTCTTGCCTCTCTTTTTTTTTTTTTTTTTTTTTTTTTTTTTTTTTTTTTTTTTTTTTTTTTTTTTTTTTTTGTTTCTTAACATTTTTAAGCTCTTAGTCTCTCTCTTACTAGCTGGTTTCTTATGCAGACAATGAGTATTTCACCGTGAATTTGGGGCTTACATGCGGGGAGGAGAGCCATGTATCTCCTGAATGACTCTAAGCAGTGGATCCCAAATTCTCAGCTGGGAAGAGCTGACCTTAAGTATCTTTTTGATGGATCTGAAACATGCACCAGGCTACCTCAATGTCTGTTCCATTTGATAAAATGGTGGTAAAGGGATCCAATACAGTTTGCTTTGAATGTCCCCTTTGAATGGCCTTGTTGGGAGCTAAATTTTAGTGGGACAGACCCACAGGAGTCAGTCTGTTGGCAACTGGGTGCATGGAAAATCACCAAGATGGGAATCCTGACCTAGGTGTGTTCCTGTCTGTAAGCAGGAGGAAGGCTCTGACTTGTCTGTGCAGGAGCTTGGCACTTGATCCTACGTAGTTTTACACTGAGACATCCTGCAATAATGCAGATCTCAGTAATGTGTTCCTACCTCCCCATTGCTTCCCTAAACTTTCTTAGTTAACTGTTCTGTAATACTGGTTAATGTGTGTCTGCTTTCCTGCTTCCTCCTGTTACAGCTATACAGAAAACAGCAGTAACAATTTATAAGCTCTATGACATGAAAAGTATGCTTTTTATGGTCCCTTTGTTCTGCCTGGAAGTTCACATAAAACAAAACATGATCGCCTGAGACCACCTGTGGAAATGGGTGGCCTAGACTGGACTGCACCTGCTCTTCATACTCAGTTTAACACCTCTTCCTTCTGTATTTAGGCTCTTAAAATCTCTGATATCCACAATAGGGCATATGTTGATTTTAATGAATATCTAGATGTATTTAATACTTAAATGCATGTGATTTGAGTCACTTCACTATATTACACTTAGGTCTGTGACTTAAAAATTCATTCAGACTTGTCCTTTCATACAGTTATCCAGAATGGAGACAGAGAATTGCTGTTTCTCCTAAGTGATGTAGCAACAAGAAATTAAGGTATGCATGCCAGTTCACCTGAATTCTGTTCCTAGGTGGAAAAACTAGCTGTGGATTAATAATATATTCTTACTATTTCTGACTGCTACATAATAAAGCTATGCCTCAAGAAGTTAAGCCTATGTGTAACAATAAGCATGATCATGTTGAATGCTTGCATTTCACAGAATGCTCAGGAGTCAGACTTCAGGATACTGTGTGATGCAGCCACTCTCACGTTCATCATCCAGTGTAAGCAGTTGTTGTAGTGGATTGAGGGAAAATGGAACATCTGAGGAAGAGGAGAATGACAGGGTGGGTGTATGATCTCTAACAAACAGAGGCTACCCTCTCTGAATTTTTACCAGGTGCATTATTAAAACACATCTTCTTTGCCCTCTCTAGGAGCTGACGTGCTCACTTAAGGGCCCTCCAAAACAGGATTCAATGGTTCAGAGTATGTGGCTGGATGACAGTGACTGCACACCCAGTACTTCTAGCTCACCAGGTAAAAAAGAAAGAAAATAGAAAAAAACCCTCTGCTTATGCTTCTAGAAGCGTATGAGAGGTTGAGCCAAATCTTTTGTATGCTGTACTTAATATTTTAGAAGGACAGGTAGATGATAGCCCAGAAAAATGGGGAGAGCAGCTGCCATGCAAAGTTTAATTGGGAAAGAATTCTTCAGTGCCATGAATAAATAGTACTGTACGTACTGCAAAAGGAGTTACAGTAGACTGCAAAGAATTAAAGAGTTCATGTTTTTTCTGTGGAGAGCTATGGTTGCATTTATGCAGTCCCTGTATAAACTAGATAGTTTGCTCCTAAGAAGGTGGGTAATCAGGAAGCCAACCTGCACTCAGAGTTTTTTTGTCAAGGTTGGGCTCTTAGTCTAATACTTGATTAAACCTGAGATATAGTTGATTAAACTCAGCTTGGATCCATTCACTATAATGATCCATTCAGTGGGACTTGGATCCATTCACTGTAATCATCCGTTCAAAGTTCTCTTCAGTCCTGTAGCAGGGACACCTGTTGTGTTTCCTGCTGTGGAGCTGGATCATCTGCCCTGATCTCAGACCCTGTTTGCAGTTGCATTTCACTTTTGTTAAAATGAACTGGTTTGGATTGAAGCATTTCTTGTTGAGCATCAGCCTCAAGCTAAAATTAGGGAAAGTTTAAATCAGTTTCAGTCTGGTTCTGAGAATGGGGCTGTGTAAGATTTTGGGAAAGTATGACTGAAAAGACTAAGCTTTTGAGTTTGGGAAGTCATTAGAAACTGTGAAAGGCAAAACACTTAACATTTGTTGCTGGAAGACTGGAATAAGAGCATGTTGAGATGGTAAGAGATACTAGGGATTATGTGTATGGCAAGGAAGAGAGTTGATTGAAATGAACCCTGAAATCTTTATAGGAATTGTGTGAGAAAGGATTGTTTGTAAAGATTACAAGGGTCAGAAAGTGGAGTCAACTTAATTTGAGAATAGAGTTAGGTCTCATTCCCCACAGCTGCCATATATGAGATATCAAGAATGGCCATTAGACAGATCCCTGCATAAAACTGTCTGTATCTTAGCAACAGCATTGAAGATGTGATGCTGTCAGATATTCTGCAGAGATCTCTGTTCTATCAGATATTTCTCTTTTGTTGTGGATGCTGGAGGCAGGGATGCTTTCCATTGGCCCCTTCTGCTCTTCACAGATACCTTCTCTGCTGACTCTATTATCTTACAGTATATAAATCATTAATATGCATCACTGAGAATAATCATTACAGAGAATGTAGTGTTTAGTTCAATGTAATTTTTAGGTTTTACAATCCTGGGGACAGAGAGCAATATCCTGGTGGTTTAGTTTTGCCCTTTATTAAGTTATCTAGTAAGTATTCAGCCAAAGTTTATGCACTGTGTAAAATCAGACCAAACAAATTTTCTTTAATGGAGAAACCTAAGACAAGCCCACTGTGAGTCTAGATCCTACGCTGAATAAATCCAACATTCCTGATCCATGTACATATTCTTGGCTTCTCCAATTTGCCTTTCAGATTGAGAGAGCAAAATTACAGGGAAAAAAAATAGTCAGTCTGTGATCATTATGCTCCCAGATGACGACATAGAGAACTGCCTTTGCCAAAATATTTTCTGACTTGGCTTTAAAGTACCAACATGTCTCATGTGCCAGTGCATGTCACATGAGGCAGAGGTGACTTTCTCCCTAGCCTCAAGGGCAGGATAAAAATTCAGCTATAACTCTCCTCAACACATAGACACTACCAGTACTGTTAGGTATATTTTTATTTAGTTAGTTGGCCTGTTAGTAACTTCCTACAAAAAACATACATCATTATTAAATTTTAGCATAGTGGAACTGGGATATATACAAAATAGAGAAGAACCCTCATATTGTAAATTCATATTGTTTAAAACCACAGTTTAGCAGCATTAGGCAGTGATTGACCAATTTTGATTTTAAATCTCAGTTTTAAATTACATAATGGCACTGGGAAAGGGGATAGTCTACCTTGGAAAAAGTGCTGAAACAATAATTGCAACTTATCTGTTTCCTAGAAAATACTGGTGTGATCACATATAAGTAAAAAAAAAAAAAAAAAAAAAAAGAAGAAAGAAAGAAAGAAGTGTTCCTGGGAAAAGCATCTGAGCTTACCATCTTAGCAGGAATCCCTCATTAGTTTTCTTCCTTTTCCTGATTGAATGATGGTTAGATATGCCATCAGAGGTATTCACCTGTCCATTCTACCCCTTAGCACATTCCACGCTAAACTCTTTAATTCAAACTCTTTCCATTTTCCTCTGATTTAAAGAAAAGATTTAGTATTTTATAATAGAGATTTATGTTGTGATGTAGCTATGCATAAACTCTCACAAACTGTACTGGTTGGAAATTAGCATATTTAGTAATTTTAACCATAGAATGGATAGAATGGAGGATCATCTAAGAGTAAATGTAGAATGGTTTAAGAAGGCTGTTATGTTAAAGACATCTTACTCATTTTTTGAGAAATGTGTATGGTAAATACAAGCTAATTACAGAAAGCAAAAGAATGCTTTTAATTTGTGAATTTTGCAAGCATTTAATCCCTGGTTTTGCCATGGTGGTGATATGTGATGAGAGGCAAATTCCTTAAACCCTGAGGTCAGATATGGGAATCTCAAGGGAGGGGTCAGAGGGAGAAGGAGGAGAAACACTGTGAGAGCATAAGATTGGAGTCTGCTTCGCAAATGTGTATCCTTGAGAATAAGGCATTCATATTGTCTGGAAACAGTGGCTGTTGACTATTTTTAAATGAAATTGAAGCAGTCACTTTCCTCATGTTTTGAGCTGGAATGAGAAACGGGTAGACAGGTAGAAGGTAAACCTAGTCAATTTGGGCACAGGTACACTCCTTTCACTCTTATCTGTGGATGAGCCACAGATCTGTGAAAACTTTGGAGTAAAACCAGCTATGTGTGCAGCTCCTGGGATACCTTCTTGATTTTTTTTGTATTGTTCTGTGCTTGGTTCCCTTCTAGGAAGCAGGTTGCTTCCTTCCAGCAGTGTTGCTGGCTCCACTGGAAAAGGAAAAGGCAGCAAAGCAGAGGCTCAACACCATAATCCAGTAAGTGCTTTAATAAAATGTTTTCTCATTTGCACAGAGATAAGGACGGGAGAAAAGAGAGGCTTGATTTAGGTGTTGCTTGCTGAGGGTTGAAAGGGCAGTAGGAAGGCGTTTGCAGGGGGAGGTTAAAGCGGTGCCTTGTTCTGCAGGCCTCCATTTTGTGCTGTGTGTGATGTCAGCGCTGGAGCACTGTCTGCTGCACACACGGTGAGGAGCACAGGTAATGGACACGGGGGAGGACAGCCACAGGCCCCTGGCCATCCCTGCCTCTCTGAGACAGTGCAGCAAGTGCTGTACAGCTTCTCAGGAAACAGAGGTAGTCCTTTACCTTCCTCCCCAAGCAATCTTCCGTAGCAAGTGACTCTGACCTGTCTGATTTACCTAAGCACTCCCTTTCCTGGCTGCCTCCTCCCTCTCAGGGAACAGCATTTCCCATTGAGATTCTGTTCTCTACCCTAAACTAGGCACAGTTTCTTCCTCTTCTTTGTCTTTCATTGTTCAGTTTCCTTTGCTCAGATACAACCTGCCTTTCTCTGTGCCTAACCTCTGCTTTTTATAATAGTTTCATTACTTTGCAGAACCCCTTTTTGTTGCTCATTTTCTCATGTTGTGCCTATCTGTACACTTATTTGCTTTCAGCCTAGCATTGGTGGGACCTACTTGCCAAGACAGTTTCACAGCTTTTCCAGACATGGGAAGTGGGATTGATTTCCTGATGAGGGAAAATGGGAACACCACTTCCAGGATTGTTCCCTAGAATTTGTAGTACAGTTTTGTCTGTGTTGTTGAGTCTTTTTGCTCAATGTCCCTTTCCTTGCCCAGTATCTTCTCTGGCCTGACACTAAACAGCTGCCTTGAAAGTCGTGGGGATGTGAGGCTCTCAGGAACTAGTTTGGTACACAGCTGAGTAGAAGAGGATCACCTTTATGGAAGAAAATTCTTCCAGCTATTCCTAAACATTCCTAAATAGCTGGTAGTTCTTACTGTTTCTGTTCAGATCCTCAGCGCTCAAGTTTTAGCTGCCCTGCCACCTTGTGGCATTCAGAGCAGTCAGGTGCACAGTTCAGCTCCGTGAGGTGGTGGCCCTGGTGCCACAGCAGATCAGAGAGGGGAGCTGATACTCACCACTGAGGCTGCGTCAGTGTGTGCCACAGGAGAGATCAGAACTGAGCGTGACAGCGCAGCTGCCAGCCACTGTTCACTGGGGTCATCCCCAGAGCTTTTGCCAAGCTCACAGCACGGCTCTGTAACACAGGAGCAAGGCTGTGTAAATGAGGGGCAGAACTCCCTCAAAGTTCTGCTCCCAAACAGGCACATTTTGCTCAGAATAGGTAGAAAGTCAGAATTGCAACAATCTGCACACTCACTGATACAAAGGCAAAGGCTGTGGTTTTGCATTCACTGGTGGCTATTATAGGCAATAAGCAATGTATCTCAGTAGTACTCAAGTATGATTTTAGTAGCTAAGGTTTTGAGCATGTAATTTCCACTGATTTGAAGTAAGTCAAAGAGCATTTAAAATAATTTCATGAAATATATTGCAGTCTGTAGGATCCATGTCTTTTGGTTCATCTGTCAAATCAACAATTCTGCCACAAAGGCTGGTTATTTTCCAGTTGATCCAGCTCAAAGAACAAAGTTTCATGAGACCCTGCTTTTCACTGTGACATTATTTCCAGGTGTTCATTGAATTCTCACCAGCTCCTACCAGAGCACATTATTTCCACAAAAGGGCATTTTACCCACTCCTGAGATAGCGCCACTGGCTTAAAGTGATGTTTTAGTCATTCCATTTTATCACAACCTCTGAATCAGTTTGATAGCACAGATTGGAGGCTAGCAAGTTTCAGGGGAGAAATGGTAAAAAATTTCTGTAACATGGCTTCAGGGGACTCAAAGAAACCTATGGCAGTCACATCCATGGTAACCTCCTTGTCATTCTAACTCCTCTTATCTCTCACAAAGTTTTCCTTAAGTTCCAGGCTGAATTTGCCCCGAGTAATGAGTGCACTGGTAAAAAGGAGGAAGGACTCCTCCAATCCTAGGGTATTCCTGAAGAGCTGAAAGAAGTAAAAATTGTGGATGGGGGAACACACGATACTCCCACAACACTCAGAGGTGTAAGAACATGAAGTATGCAGATATTTTTTCTGATGCTTTGTTCTAGGATTTGCTGTTCAAGTGAAAATACGTGAATGTGCTTTACGCTAAAGTTCAGAAAAAGACAAAAAAGGGAATTCCAGCTGCTGCTGTTTCATTCAGTGATGCATCAGAGTGTGGAATCATTGTGAAATCAAACTTCCTATAAATCAAATTTCTGTGTGTCATTCCAATTCAGCCAATACAGGGCCAAGCTCAAACAGTTTCCATGTGAAATTTCTTATTTTAATTGTTTGCATACCTTTCCCTCTGCAGACTACATGCTTGGAAGTCCCTCACAGCCATATCCAAATCACCTTTGGATAGGCAGCAATTAGGGCATCCTTGAGGAAGCAAACCAGAGTCTACTTCAGTTACCAGCTGAACCTACAGTGGTGTTCACAACCATCCTCCAAAGACATTCCTGTAAAACCTGGATTAGTTAAAAACCCCTGCAAGGTTTGGGGTTGGTGCCCACAAATGCACGTGTATGGTGGTTTCCTCAAACATCAGTCACTGCAGGTGTACCAAATATTGTCCAGGATGGGGACAGTTCCTTTTAAAATACTTGATTGACTCACTAGGCTCTTCTTTAGGCTTGAATTGTGTCCTTCCCAGCTGCCATGATGCAAAGTAAAAGGAAGCATTAATATCTTAGCCTGTGCTTCTTATGTCTATGTAGTACACTGGACTTAAAATAAAAGGAAATGTGGCCAGCTTCTCTTAGGTTTTATGTGTGTGTGTGTTTGTAAAGGACAAACAGGAAGACATAAGAAACGCAGAGATCACAGTCCAGTAACTGCGTAATCCTCATGTGTTCAGGGTAAAGGAAAGAAAACCAATCAGGGAAGAATATTCACTCTGCAAGAAGTTAAATCTTTAATGGTAATCGTTGATCTGTTGAAAGAAAGGAAGCACATTTGTATTGGTAAACACCTCACCAGGCTGGTAATACTGGCAAACCTTGATATTTTTCAAAATTACAGATGAGACCAAGCAGTAAAGTTAACTATTAAGGATGAGAAAGGCATCCCTCCATAAAATTGAATACATTCAGATAACCACTGAAGACTGACATATATATTTTCCTTCCTATATATTTCCCCAGGGCTTTTCACAGCTTAGGGCTTGGAACTGGTCCCAGCCACTTTTCACCTGCAAGACAAACCAGCACAAAAGAGATATATTAAAATGCGATCCATACAAGTAATTGCCTGGTCATTTTTTCTGCAGCAGGATTATTGTTCCTACTCTGAACAGTAGGTGAAGGGTAGCTACTGGTGATGGAATACAGATTTATATGTTGTTTGGTGTGCTACAGCTAGCTCCATAAATCTTTCACTGTCTACTCACAACTGAAACTGTACAGAAGAATTGTTTTCCTCCATTACAGATGAGATGTTCTGCAGGTCAGGGATATTCCACATGAGGGAGAAATCAGTTCTTTTTAGGACTCATTTTGCAGGGGGGAGTGGGGGTTAAAAAAAAGCAAAAAAAGGGTGCAAGGCTGCAGAGTCAGAGAATCAAAAAGAAAATCTGATTAAGTCCTTGGAGTTGAGATTAGAAACCAGGCCACAGCATTTCAGTCAGTATTAGTGACTGCTGTAGTGAGTGTTGGGTACTCTTCTTCCTCACTCTCATGTTCATCAAGAATATTTTATAGAATCAGGAACTCATCCAGACTCCTAAAAAAGAAAACCTCAAAAAATTTCCATTCTGCTTAAGCCTATGACTAATACAAATTTGCATTAATTAATACTTTCTGTTGAATGTTTTCTACAAATGCATGAGCTAATTGTGTGCGTAATTCTTTCTAGAGACACTCTCTCAAGTGCCAGATCTTGAGATGAATAGTCAAATGCCCTGCAACTCATAAAAACAGGTAACTTTAGTTTTACTTTTTTATCACAACCTACTTCAATCTCTTAAAGAATTTAAAGTGTGTATTCTGTTAATAGAAAAATGAAAAGTAGGATGGTCAATATATGACCAACCTAAACAGCTGTGTAAGTCGACACAAGTTATGGACTGGGGAGCTGTAATAATGTGCTCTTAATAAGAAGGAACAGATATAAAATGAAAATGTTAGAACAACAACAAAAAAAAAGCAGTACCAGCCATAGTCATAGTCTTAGCCAAGGTCTATGGTCCAGTACCAAAAGGTTACATATGGATATTTTGAGATTGGCAAATGGAACACAAAGCCTTGAAACACACCAAGAGAGGGTATGTGAGAGAGAGAACTCAAGTCACTTCTAGTCTGGAAAAGGATCATTTGGTCATTTTAAGTGTACTGGGACAGATTTCAGTCAGCAGTTTCATTCCAGGAGAAGGATAACCAACATTATTTAACATTTGAAAGCTCTTAGGAGTGTTTTACTCGGCTGCATTACGTATTTTGTTCCAAGAGGGTGAAAGCATGAAACCAAAGTGATGAAATGAGGCAGACTCACCTATAATGCTGCCTAGCAGCTCTAAACGATCAGAGCCAAAAAACAGATGAGGTTTCCCATCATAATGTGCCACAACAGCAGGCATCCCAAATGCCTATTGACACCATGGAGATGAAACAGAGAATGTTAAAATGAGAGAATTTCTTGCAGTCATATCACCAATCTTCAGGAATAAATCCCAACAACTTTTTACTTTTTTTTCTCCCCTTCTTTTTCCCTTCTTCATTCTTAAAGATAAGCCTAATGAAGCCATCTAAAAATGGGTGACTCTCCAGAGCCTGTGTGCCCCTTTTGAAGGAGCATAAAAAACAACCTGATTAATCCACAGTTCTATTCCAAATAGCAATAAATGGTATCTCTCAGTAAAATGGTATCTCTCAGTAGAAAAAAGGTTCTGTCCTTGGAATGAGTGGGTCAACCTTGTTTTCCCAGATGACAGTGAGATAAACTACCAGCAACAGTGAGGTGGCTTTCACACACTGGAAAACAAGAAGTCTATATGGTGCTTTCTATAATCATCACTCTCATTGTTCCCTGCTTCCCTGTATTCTTAAGGGGGAAGGAATGCAGAGCTGTGAAGCCCAGTGCCATTGGAAGCATCTCACCCCATGTTTCAGTGCTTCAGTTGTTGTGTCTTTCAGTCGGTCCTTCACTGGAGGGGATGAAGCCATTTCAAGTGCCTTCTGGGAGAGCTCTGCTGAGAGCCCAGCCTGTCGGGCAATCTGTGAAAAGATGATTTAATTAAGAATACTCTAAAAGTAAATATTCCAGTTCCCACTCTGGTATAATTAATTTAATCTTCAGTCTATTAACAAAAAAATTCAAAATACTCTTGAAGCACTTGCACAACTGTCTTGCTGTATTCCCAACCTATTCATCATTTAACAACTCTCAGATACAAAGTGGAAGAGACATTTTAAATCTTCCAAGTCCCAAATCTGCACTTTTTTTCCCCAGGAGTTCCTAAACCAAAGAAAAAAAAAACAACAAAAGAACCTTAGATACAACGACTCATCAGATAACTTACAAAAAAACTCAAACTGGTGTTATGAAAAGTAAAATCTCATAAGTGATGCTGTATGAAAGACGCCAAATCACAGAGGTTTAACAGTGGCTGGTGTTACTGCTGGATCTTACCTCCCTTGAGCCTCTGCCACACCAGAATGAGACAAAGTAGCCAAATTTAAACATCCAGTGTTTACCTGGTAACAATGACTTACAAGTACTCTGAATAAAGTATTTCACAAAAAGAGAGGAAAAAAAAGAAAGAAATGCAGTATTGCACATGGAGAAGTAATCCTGCACATGCAGGTGTTAATGACTTTTTCAATGACTTTTTTTGTTTAGCACCAACATTTTCATGTGCCTTCTCCTTCTAACACATCAGGAAAATGAGGAGCTCTTTTTGACTGTGCTTGAAGAGGAGGTTAAACAAGTGTACCACTGGACTAGAACAAAATGCTTGGTAGCCACAGTATTTAGAGTGCAATATTGACACTGTGAAGTAGTATCTGGTCCTCACCATTTCAGGGCAGAAAGAGGATTTAAGTGGACTGGGGCAGAATTCAGACCACACATTGCTGATATAGCAATTTACATGAAGCTACTTTTGATTAAATAAAGAAGTAAAAGAATACTAAGGAATTATTATCAGGTTTTAAAAGTACCATTTTTCTGACTGATGTGTAAAATAAATCCACCTGTAAAGACTCAGATGATTGGCTGGGACCTCTCAGCCACCTTTGGATGACAAATTTCCAGAAAAGTCTAGTACTTGTTGCAGGAGTGAATGAAAACAGACACAAGCAGACAAGGGGACACTTCCCTCTCTGCATTGATGCACGGGAGGGATACTCATCGACTGCCAAACTGTGACTAAATTGGAGATTGTTCTGAGTATGAAGCGCTGAAGTTCTGCATGTCCTTGTTTATTTAAATAATGATGGATTCAGAGACAATGTGACAACGTTCTGTATATGTTTATGTATTGGGTCTAGCTGGAATGGAGCTACTTTGCTTCACAGCAGCTCCTATGGTTTTGTGTTTCAGATCTGTGACCAAAACAATGCTGACAACATCCTAATTATTTTAGCTATTGATGAATGGCGTTTGCACAGTGTCGTGGCAGTCTCTGGTTCTCACTCTCCCCCCACAGTGAATAACGTGGGGCTTCACCAGAGGCTGGGAGATGACCTGAACTAACCCAAGAGACAGACCATGCCATATGCCATGCTCAGCAGTAATTGATGAGGAGGGGGTTTAGGCAGGTTAAGCTTTTTCTTGGGAACTGGCTGAGCATCAGTCTATGTGTAGGGATTCTTTGTTTTCTTTCACTCTGCTCCCAGTTCTCTTTTGTTTATTAAGTAATTTTATCTCAACCCACAAGTTTTCTGGCTTTTATTCTTCTTTTCCTCTTCTCCTGTCCTTCTGGGCAGTGGGAGGAAGCAAGTAAGCACCTGTGTGGTGCCTACCAGGGTAAAAGTACCACTTTAATTATATCTTTAGCTATAGGTACAGTTAATTAATTAAATTATATGTTTAAATAAAAAAATAACTTTATTTATATCCTTCAAATCTTGCTTCTTAAAAAGGCAAAGTGCACACCTTTGCTGAAACTTTGGTAAAAAAGCTACACTAAGATGAAGCTGAAGTGCGAGAACTAGACTTAGGGAGGAACAGCAAGACTACAAGCTTCAGATTTCAGCTAGGGATGTTGGATAGGAGACACCAGTCATCTCCTCTCTTTTCTCCAGATTCCAAGAACTTATAAAAGGGGAGACCTTCAAGAGGATCTGCTGGTATACTACCTTACACACTATTACAGCTTTTGCTATAATAAACAAAATTGAAATAGCAAAAGAAAAAACATCAGGAGTATAATTTCCAGGTATATAAGAGGGCAATATAGGACTGAGCTTAATAGAAAACCTGACTCCACCACTCTAAGGAAAGTCACCTTCCCCAAGTGTTGCATTACAGCTGAACATTTCATATAGCATCAATGCCTCAATGCAGAAACTATTTATTTACTCATGAAAATGAGTTTTAATAACATAGGATCAATAGGTAACTCATTGTCCAGCCTGGGTATCTTGCCACATGAATTAACAAAAAAAACAAACAAAAAAAAGTGTACTCTGGTTCTGAAAAAAAAAAAAAAAAAAAACACCAAAAAAACCCAAAAAATCCAAACAGAGCTGCAAGGGAATTTAAATCAATTTTTCCTCAAAGTCATCAATAAGAATATCTATCAGAAATGCAGAAGCACCAAGAAAAAGGAAACACTTACAGCCAGTATGTTCTCTGGCTGACTGATGTCTTCATGCTGGTAAAAGAATAAAATAAGTAAATCAGTATTTATGAAACAAAAGCTCATCTCTGGATTTTTAAAAGCAAGTTTTCTAAGAAAACAAAAATAAACTCAATACTAATTGCTGGAGAAATTACCTCCTAAAAGGTCTTAAGTCACCTAATCTAGGAATGTATTAAAGTGTTTTCTGATAGGAACCACTGATCCACTGGTCAAGCCTGTTGGACTCACCATATATACCTAAAAGAAGGCAAGTAAGGCCGATTATAAGCTCGTGGCTTCTGAACCACGGTGACCTTAAATTCCTGCAATGACTTTTCATTAAAAGACATTTTCTTCCTCTTGCTGGAATTCCACATTTGAATGATGCAGGACAGGGAAAGTGACAGAAAGGGTCAAGAAGCTGGCTGAACGAAGTACTGACCTGTGACCAAAAGCGCATCCAGAACTGTCTGGATAAGGGCTCCAGGTACTGTGGGTTTGTCATGTCAATGGCTGTGATAAAGCGCATGGCCGTCAGGCTGCCTGCATTCGTGGGAGACAGAGGAACACTCAGACAAGGCACAGCAGCAGGAGCAGGTGTGGTCTGCATGACTGCTGCCTAAGAGCAGTGTGATCTCCCCTGCAACAGCCCTGAGAAACCCAGAGTCTGTACAGTTAAGCTCACGTTGATCCACAGTTATCTCCTGTACTAGTATCATTCACAGTCACACTTCCCCAGAAATTTCCTTCATGGCTATGAATACAGACTTCATACTGCTCACAGGTTCAGGAAAAGGCTGCACACAGGGACTTCATCATAGGGAGAACTGGAACCAGAAGTGCTAGGGATGAGAAATAGCTGCTAAGACTCTTACTTGTGCCCATGATGTGCTGGAAGGCATCTGGGGACATGCGTAAAGGCACCTGGTAGTACTTTGCCATCCTTTTCATATCCTTCAGCAAGTATTCCCCTCGCTTTGGTAACATTGCTGGCGGCTTGTTACCTTTTAGGAAAAAGTTCTGTTGAGATTTCCAGCTGTATTATAGTAATACTGAACAAACAAACTAACACTGGAAAAATTATGCCTCATATGTACATATACCTAAGGAAGAGTCTAATTTCATAGTATAATTTCATGTTGGTTTACTGAAACATACTTGGCTTTTCCAAAGATAATGCTACGATTTAAACATGGTTTATTTCAGTTTTGCACTGATTAAACCTTTAGGATAGCTGAATCAGTTTTAAACCAAGGTACAAATGTCCTAGCAGGGATTTATGTTGATTCAGACAGATGACTTTTAAGCTAACTCCTAATGCATGAGTAAACCAATGTAAAGACTTGTTAATTCACGATTTATGCATTGTAAGTCTTGGTGATCCAATTAAGGCCATAAGTACTGTCTCAGGACATAATTGTATCCTTCCTGCATATTACAAAGTGCAAGTGTTCCACAAATTAATTCTGGTTTAAAATCTAACTCTAGAAAAACACTCCCTGTCAAGTTGTTATTATTATTATTTATTTATTGTATTTTAGAACAGATGGACTTTGGCACAGACTGTCTGTGTAGTTGCAACAGTGTGAAATTCCTTGTGACTAATTTCTCAATCTCTTTGGGGCTCCACAGTGCTGTAGTTAATCTGTTACTGGTGCCATAACTTAGTTCAGAGCTGGCTCTGTGTCGGCTCTGCACACACCCAGGGCCTGCAGACTCAGTACTCTGCCAGTGACGAAGGTGTCTTCACTGAGCCCTGCAGAGCCCTGCAGAGCTCATCTCCCTGTACTCCATACCAGTTTGTTGCATTATGCCACCGAGGAAAGCTGGACGGAAGCGCAGCTCAATATTCCAGATGTGCCGGTACCGGCAGAGAGCCTGCAACATGAAAAAGAGTAGTGAGGGATTCAGTGTCAGAGGTGTCTAAAGAGCTGTGTGCAGCTTAGGCAGTAAGTACTACAGATAAATCCTTCCCTATTGTATTAGGGGTAGTCTTTCTAAAGCCTTTCCTGGATGCTGCCAGAGAACTCTGGTCTCAGAAAACCTGAGGGGTCTCTATTCGTGTCACGACTATCCAAGGCTAAGCAGCGGTAAGTATGGGAAAGGTCAGGCTCATGTCATGATCAGGACACCTGCACTTTTTAAATATGAAAGCTACCCCAGAAGCAAAACTTTCAGCACTAACTCCTGCACTGCCGTTTGGCTGGGATACGCTTCCATGGTGTTCCTGGATTTCAACACGCGAGGGAGAAGCCCAGGCACCCCTTAGAGGTGAGAGAAAAATTAACTTCACGGCGCAAAGGGCGCTGCCTGCAGCCAGCCGGCCGAGCTGCCC